CTAGCCATTCTAGTAGCTATGTAGTAGTGTCACATTGTGATCTTAAATTGCATTTCCCTAGTGATTAATGATATTGAACATCTTTTTATGTGTATTGGTTATCCCATCCGTGAATCTTTTTTATGAAGTGTCTGTTCAGGCCTTTTAAAGGCCATTGAAAAAAAAAGTTATTTGCTTTCTTTTCTTACCAGGTTCTAAGACTTTTTTTTAAAAATACATCCTAGATATAAATCCTTTGTCAGATATATATGTTACAAATATTTTTTCCCAGTTTGTGGTTTGTGTTTTTATTTCTGTAACTTTCTTTTAGAAACCAGAAGTTTAAATTTTTGCCACATGCTAATTTATCAATTTTTTCTTTTAAAAAGTTCTCTTTTGTACTTTTGTGCCCTGTTTATAAAATGTTTGCCTATCCCAAGAACACCAAGGTTTTCTGTTTTCTTTTAGAAGTTCAGCTCCTATATATAAATCCAGAATCAACTTATGTTAATTTTTTCATAAGATCTAAAGTAAAGACCATGGTTCATTTTTTCTGTTTCCCATATGGATATCCCGTTGTTTCAGCATCATTTGTTGAAAAAGACTATCCTTTCCCTATTAAATTATGTTGGCACCTTTCTCAAAAATCAACTGGCTATATGTGTGTGAGTCTGTTTGTGGATTCTCAGTTCTGTTCATTGATCTGTATATATTTTGTCCTTACACCAAAGCCATACTATCTTGATTACTATTGCTTTATTGTAAGTCTTGAAATTCAGTAGTGTGAGTTTTGTTTTTATTTTTCAAGATTGTTTTGGCTGAAGTTTAGGTTCCCTGCATTTCTGTACAAATTTTAGAATCAGGTTGTCCATTTACCTGCTAGGATTTTGATTGATATTGTATTGACTCTATATTTCAGTTGGAAAGAATGAACATCTTAACAATATCGAGTCTAATTTTATTTATTTATTTATTTATTTATTTAAGCCTTTTCAATTTTCCCTCAGCAGTGTTTTATAGTTTTTAGTCTACAGGTATTACACATACGCTGTTAAAATCATTCCTAAGTGTTACATGTTTTTTTTTTCCCTTAATGCTGCTGTAAATTGTATAGGCAGTTTTTAAAAAATGTGTATTTTTAAAAATGAAATGAGTGTAGTGGTTACCCCTGGGAAGCTAGTGACCCAAAAAAAAGCTGTACACTTAAGATTATGCACTTTTATGTATATTATACTTCAGTGAAAATTGAAATACAAAAAAAAATTACATACTGATAAAGAAGGATGTATTTTGAAAAAGAGAAAGCCCAACTCCATCTGTGTCATAAATTCATTAAGAGTGATGATTTATTGAATACTTTACTGGGTACCAGGTGGTGAGCTAAGCATGTTTGTTTTAGATTATTTTATTTGACCCTCACAAAAACCCAATGAAATAGATCCTATAATTATCCCCATTTTACAGATGAAAGAAACAGACTCAGAAAAATATTGAGTTATTTATTCCATGTAATACACCTGGTAAATTAAGGAGCTAAAATTTGAAACCAGGTCTTTCTACTCTAGGACCAAGGCTCTTAAAACAGTGCAGTATGGTATAATGGTTAAGAGTAACTGATTTGAAGTGATGATGGATGTGAAGTGTGTCTCTACCTCACACAGAAATACTCTGTTTTGAAGGGTAGTGATTAGAATGTAGTACCGTTGGCAAATGGTTGACAAATACATGAACTCTCAGGTTATACTTTATCTTTAATAGCCAATGTTTTAGGGCTCGTTTATGATTAGATCAGTGAAAGTGTAAGAAAATCTTGACCGAACTTTATAGCTCCTGCAATGGGATAATCAAATTTGTGAAATCCTTAGGCATTTTTGTCTGTTAATAGTCTGATAGTCACTGATCAGACATGATTCCCTATGATTATAGAAACATCTGGTTTGCTTAAAGTATAAAATAAACAGAATAATTTCATTATTTCATTACCTTGCTGATTATTAATCTGTTACTGGCATTTCTGTCTTTAGCCAGAATGCAGTACTCTGGGTGGCATCCAACTTTAGACCATTTCCACCTTTTAAAAGACAAAAGATAAATGTATAAAAGATGATGGAGTGAGGTTTTGGTTGTTAGGATGAGAAGTGGCATTTGGTTAAGCTTGTAAACCCCCTATTTGTTAGCTCTCAAAACCTTACTCCACATTTCACAAGTTTTTCTTTTCTGAGATGCAAACACATAACCTACACAAAAAGCAACCCCGAAGTCCCCCAAGGCCCATGTCCAACAAGGTTCTTATTAATCATTTTTGGTCTTATATCACAGACAACAGTGACATTTATGCTAGAAAGCATCCAACTCTGTATGCACCTGGGCTTGCTGTTTGCAGTGTTTGCTCCTTCTGTGTAAATAGAATGGCTAATGCTATTCTTGGAAATATGCTTTCACCTGTGTATCTGGAATCATTTGTAAGACGGCCTACATGTAGGAGTTAATGTTTAGAAGTTAAGGCAAGTCTGTGTCTTTAATAGCAGAAGTTGATTATCCAAATTTGATACAGGTTTATGGCATATTCATTATGCCTAGGCAGGTTTAAACTTCATAGTAACAAGGGTCTTCTTGCACATTGGAATTGCCTCAAGCAAATATGCTAAAGATCCATCAAATTACTCTGAAAAGTAACCAGTTGTACCTACAACTTTGTGGTTATCTCCTAAAGAAAATCAACTTTCTTCAGATTAGCAAATTTCTGTTGATTTCTGAATCTTCTCCTAGTGTTCTCCAGCTTCAGACTTGAGTGTGGTCCTTGTCTCCCCTTTTCCCCCTCATACTCTGTATCCCATCTATCAGCAAATTCAGTTGGCTCTGCCTTCAAAATATACATTGAGGGGGGTGGGTATAGTTCAGTGGTAAAGTGCATGATTAGCATGCACCAGGTCCTCGGTTCAATCCTCAGGACCTCCATTAAACAACAAAATTTAAAGATAAAACTTAAAAAAAATTTTTTTAATCAAGGACCCCACCCCCCCAAAAAAATATACATTGAATCCCAATTATTTCTCAGCTTGTCTACAACTACCACACTAGTCCAAAAGACTGTTGTCTCTTTCATGGACTACTGCAATCTCCTGATTGCATTCTTGTCTCCTACAATCTGTTCTCCACATAGCAGTGATCCTTTAAAAAGAACATAAAACATCTCAATAAAAATTTTAATTGATTACATGTAGAAATGGTAATGTTTTGGATTTATCTGGTGAAATAAAATGTCTCTTTTCAATAATTTTGCCATTTCAGGAATGCTATATAAATGTAATCATACAGTATATGACCTTTTGAGATTGACTTTTTTTCATTCAACATAATGCCTTTTGAGATCCACCCCAGTTTGTTTGTACTGTTTGTTTAACATTAACTTACTGTAAGATATTTTGCTTGTTTCCAGTTTTGACTGTTACACATAAAGTTTTGTGAACAATCATGTACAGGATTTGGTATAGACATAAGTTTTCTTTTCTCTGGAATAAACATTCCAGTAGTACAACAGCTGGTTAGTATGGTAAGTATATGTTTAGCTTTTTAAAAAATTAACTGCTAAACTGTTTTCCAGAATGGTTGTACCATTTCACATTAGCACAGCAATATGTGAAAGATCTTGTTCCTCTATTCCTGCTCAGCATTTGGCATTGTCACTATATTTTCTTTTAATTCTTCTAATAAGTGTGTAGTGCTACCTTACCATGATCTTAATGGCTAGTGATGATGAAGATCTTTCCGTGTTTTTTGTTGGTCATTTGTATATCCTCTTCAGTAAATATCTTTTCATATCTCTAGCCTATTTCTAATTGTCTTTTTTTTAACTAAGGCATAATTGATTTACAATGTTGTGTTAGTTTCAGGTGTGCAGCGAAGTGATATATATGTGTGTGTGTGTGTGTGTATGTATGTGTGTGTGTATATATATATGTATAAAGGATATATATATATTCTTTATCAGATTCTTTTCCATTACAGGTTATTTAAAAAAACAACAACAATCCTCCGCTTTTAAAGGGCTCATTTCTTTAGGTCAGACCCACTGCAGTAATCTCCCTATCCTAAAGTCCCTGATTTGAGACCCTAATTAAGTCACAGCAGTACCTACATGTTTGTTTGAATAACTGAGAGAAAAATGTTTGTACACCAAGGGCCAAGAATTTCTTGGGGGTCTATCTTAGAATTTTTCCTGTTACAACAACATACATTTATTTTTCTGTCCCCTTATCCTGCTTTATTTTTCTTCAAAATACCATCTACGGTATATTTTCTGTTTATTTGGTAATGTTTTTAACTTGCTATACATACTACAATACAAGTTACTCATGATGGAGACTATGTTATTTTTGTTCGGTGTTGTATTCCTAGCACCTAGAACAGTGTTTGGCACATTATAGATGCACAGTTAATATTTACTGAATGAACCAAATAATATAAAAAACTTTATGGCATATAATTTTGATGACAGCAGAGATGGGATTTTTAGGGGGAAGGAAAAGGGTATATTGAGCATTAATGTTATTTAAGCTTTATCTCCAAAGGTACTAGAGTCTCAAATTATTCATTGGCTTTTCTTTGCATGGAGGATTTCTTACTTGACCATTAAAAAATAATTTGTGAATAAGTGATTGTATAAATGTCCAGTAACTGGTGTATACAAGAAAAACGAAATTAGCTTTTTTGCTTGTTAGTAATAACTTAACATGCTTTCAGCTTTTGGTTTTCATCTGTATATCTCCAAGTAATGTTTTCTTGTGAACTTTTGGAAATGGTTGCCTAGTCGTCCAGCAGTGTTCCTGATTTACCAACATACCATGGTATTTCTTTGGTTTTCCATAAATTGCTGTTCACAAACATACAATTGCTAGTAGAGTAACAGAGTGAGCTACGTCATACAGACATAATGTAGCATGCCAAATCATAAAATTGCATATTTCCCTCATTTTCAGTACTTACTGTCATATGTTTCTTTTAATCCACTCCTTCTACAGACAAAACTTGCTAATGGCACTTCCAGTATGATTGTGCCCAAGCAACGGAAACTCTCGGCAAGCTATGAGAAGGAAAAGGAACTGTGTGTCAAATATTTTGAGCAGTGGTCAGAGTCTGATCAAGTGGAATTTGTGGAACATCTTATATCCCAAATGTGTCATTACCAACATGGGCACATAAACTCCTATCTTAAACCTATGTTGCAGAGGGATTTCATAACTGCTCTGCCAGGTATGTCTACAGGTGTTTTTACGCTATTAATTTGCCTGGAAGATGTGTTACAGTGGTAATCATCCTGAATCTTCAGCTGTACATCTCTCTCTCTTTAAAAAAAAAAATCTTTATTGGCTTGATTTTTTGAGTAGTTTAATTGTAACTTCTTAGGATATAAATTTAAAAAAATCAAACTCTGGAAAAAGACATCTCTTTTCACTATCTTCTCCCTATCTCATGTCCTTCTTTTACACCCTATTTTTATTCACACACAGGTTTAAATAAAATCTTTTCTGAGGTGTTATCTAGTTTGAAGTGTGTCTTAGTTTTAAGGTACATTAACATACCTGGATTTGAATTTCTATAGGAATTTATCAACAGAATATTTACATTGTAGGAAGGAATAAGAAGTGTTTTTAATCAAGTATTTTAGAAAGAAGGGTATCTCAGGAACCTTGTTGTGATAGTAAATATGTAAATTCTAGGGTTTACAGTCTCACTGCCCAGTAACTAAATAGCTATTGTAAATATATATATATTTGTGTATATATTTACATACACACTTAAACATATATGTATACACGTATACTTAAAATACTTTGGAGAGTGCAGTGGTTGTTTTACTGAATGCTTTTGATGGTGATCTAGAATACTGTGTAGGCATCAGTATTGGGGAAAATGGCTGTCTCAGGAAAGTATAAGGTTCTCAACTGTGTTAAAAGCTTATTCTAAAAGAAAAATGGTACACAAATGAGTGAATCTCTAAAATAGCATATCTTTTTATTTTTTTTTAGTTGCAGTTTCCTGATTATAGTAGTTACGTTATAGAAAATTCAGAAAATTCAAAAAAGTTTAAAATATAAAAGTAAAATCTCCCAGGACCCTACCATTCAGAGAGAACTACTAATGTGTTAATAATATTTCTCCTGGGTGTGTATGTTTCCCTCTAAAGCTGGGATCAAAAGTGTAACATTTTTTTACTTACTATATTCTTTTAATGTATTTTCCTAAGTGTTGGTTCTTTTAAAATAATTTTTATACTATTATATATTTATAATGGTTGAAACACATGTTATTTAACCTCTTTATTGAACATTTAGGTAGTTTAAATTTTTTTTTCCATTGTAAACTATGCTGTAATGGACATTCTTATTCATTAACCTTTTGGGCATCCTAGGAAAAAATATCAGAAGTGGGATTCCTATGTTAAAGAATTATGACATTTTTAAGGCTTCTAATACATGTGCCAAACTATCCTCTAAGAAAAATATACCAACTTATACCCTTCCCCAGACTGTATATTACCACTTTGCTTAATCTTTGCCAATTACATGTTTTTTAAAATTTGTTTTTCAAAAATTGGAATTTAAATTGAGCTTTAAAATAAAAGAAATGCCTGTTTCTATCTTAGAAATAACTTTTAAAGCTGAATTTGTACCAATTTTTTGTTGTTGTTGTTAAATAGAATAGATTTCTGCCCCCTCTTCACTCATTGGATTTTGTTTTAGCCATAGGCAAACAGCTTTCTTTGTGCAAACGATCTGTGTGTACATCATTACCGTGCTCTCCCCAATCACAGAGACATGCTGCTACCTCAAGCATACGACTAAGAATTGAATAGCAATTGATTAGACTTGTGTATTCTTTGCGTAATACTGATCCCGTGTGTGTATCTGCTGACCACTTTATAACATACTAAATCATCAATCTAATGCTTTATGGCTGTTTTAACTTAAAAACCTGCACTATCTGGCTAAGTTTAGTAAACCAAACTACTTCAAAAAATGCCTGTCATCCATTAATGTAATGGGTTTGTTTGGAGTGTTAGGTGAAATTACTTCCAAAGACTTATTATAGGGACATAGAGAAAGATGAGGAGCAATTTGATGCCAGCCATTAAAAACACAGGATTGCATTTTGGGAACTTCTGATAGAGTAGAAAATTTTAATAAAAAGATGCAGGAATTTTACCACTACTATATTTTGCATGAAGAACCAATTATTGTATCTTTAATTGGCTTATAGTCATTTTTCTACAATAAGAAAGAATTAGGTGATGGATGCCTCCATCTGCTTGTGCTTAAATATGAACATGTGATGCCAACTAAACAACATCCATTTAATGCTTTCTTTTTCAAATCTGCTGAAAAATGTGACTGATATCCATACAGTCTTTATAATTAAAATAACGTTTAAGCACATTTGGATTGTTGCTAATGGCGTCCAAGTGTTTGTATGATTCAGGGGAAAGGCACAAAATGAAATGTGGTATTCTCTTTCCTGATTGTTTAAGTTTGTGCCTACAGAAGTCAGAGTATGAAGGAATCTTTCTGCACTATTTAAGTCTTCAGCAAACCTCTAATATGTAACCTGTGAAGAGAAATAACTTTGAAAGTTTTTGTCTCACTTGTGAATTAGAACAGCAGCCAAAGGTTTATTAGTGCAAGCATCCTATTTTATAGGATCTATTCCTCTGAGGCCTCAGTACAGATTTGGGTGGAAGAAAATTTTAATTGGTTAGCCCATCCAGTTTACACAGCCCAAGATCTACTTCCACTGTTTTTCTCTGTACATCCTACAAAATAGTCTCTGAAATTCTAAGTTATCTATTGGTCTGGGATTTTTTTCTTTTTTGGGCTGTCATTTGGGCTTTATAGCAGCAGCTGTTCTCAAATATCTTTTTTAAACATCCAAAATTAAACTCATCTTTGAACTTAAACATACCCCTCTGTCTTTCCTCTTTCGATGCTTCTATACTAATCTGTATTTTCTTCTCTCCTTTCTGTGTGTCCCAAATTCTATAACCCAGAACATTCTGACTTAGTGCCTTTCCCCTAGTACATTTAAAGGATATTTCTTTTACTGAACAGCTTTGGAACTGTAGCAGTAATAGAAACAGAATGAAAAATGGACCTAATACAGAGATTTGGGGGGGGGTCTGAATCACAAGAGTTTGAGATGCCATCTGTAGAACATCCCCTAGTGCTGAAATCCATATAGATAGATGTGAATTATTTTCTGGAATCCTTTTTATTTTTAATATCTTGGGGGGTTTGCTGGTTGTTAGCTTTCACTTCCTTATCTAAAGGAAGATGGAAAATACTGTTAGTTTCTGTAACCTTATGGAAAAATTATTGACACTCATTTTACCCAAGTCTCTGTTTGAAAAAGAAACTGGATCACACTAGGGACAGTGATGTGCCTTCACAGCAGAATAAATGCTGTTCCGTATTAAAGGACCTTTTGTGAAAAATCATTCACTACCATCTATGTTCTTCTTCTTTGCCTCCTCCTGCCCACCGAAAGCTCGAGGTTTGGATCACATTGCTGAGAACATTCTGTCATACCTGGATGCCAAATCACTATGTGCTGCTGAACTTGTGTGCAAGGAATGGTACCGAGTGACATCTGATGGCATGTTATGGAAGAAGCTCATCGAGAGAATGGTCAGGACAGATTCTCTGTGGAGAGGCCTGGCAGAACGAAGAGGGTGGTGAGCCTCTTTCTTTTTTTCACTGTTACAGAGCTTCAGGACCTGGCCATTCAGAGCCTTTGAAACACAGTATTGTTGGGAACCAGTGAGACTGCTTATTATTTAATATAGTGATTTTTCTGGTATAGCAAAAAATGTTAAATAATTGTTCATGTATAGTTTTTCTTCTGACCATTCACTCATAGATCACATAATAATGTTAAGTTAATACTGCTTTGCAAAATATAATGAAAAACTGACCAGCCCTCCTGTTTGAAGCATTCAGCTTTCTGGGGAGAAACTGGTATCCTAAAAAAGGCCTGATTGGTAATTTATAAGGCAAGTGGATGGCTTTGAATCACATAGAGAAGCCAGTAAATCTAGCTTTCCCCTAAAATAATCCAGAACAAATCATTATTTTCTTTTTCAGATTTCTTGCCTTTACCCCATGCCTGTGGTGTTTTATCATCTTTGTAATCAAAATTATTTTTATGCTCAACTAGAATAAGAACTCAAGCCATCAGAAAGAGTGAAAAATGAAATTTAGTATAATCATTTTTTCTTTTTAAGACTCATATTTTCTCGAGGTGTTATTACTTAATCCTGAATTCCTTAAAGCATTTTATAGTTAGCAGCCTAAGAGACGTTCACCAATTTTGCTGTTGTTCTTTTAAAGTAATGGAACCATTTCGTTAAAACTTTCATATAATTTTCTATATAATGTCACTATAAGAAAGTTAGATATATTTCATAAGTAAAATAAAGATGACATTAAATATTTTAATTTATAGATATGCACCAACAGACATATGTGTGCTCAGTGATATCTTGAGCAATTAGTTTTATGAATTGTTTATCTTGGATCATAAAGAGATACAAAACAGTTAAGAATGGAAAATCAGCTTTTCTTAGCAGTTTCATAAAATGTATACACATATATATTTCTTTTTTGCATTTTTGAAATTCATTAATGTGTAATAAACATAATGACCTTAAATATTATGCCAAGTGCCTAGAGAGATTTCCATCATTCTATTAGAAAGACTTTAAAGTTTTTCCCAAATTCAATAAAGGAAGCAAATGCCAGGCAGTTATTTGGCTATATAAAAATTGCATAAGTGAAAGTTACTTTTCTTTCCCAAATATGTTTTCCTTATTCTCACTTCTATAATTCACTATATAGAAAAATAGAAACCTTACCTTTCATAACCTATTTCATAGTTTGGAAATAAACTCTTTATATAGTATACAAAAATTTAAAAAGTGTATACTTGTATAGCATTCAAAGTCCATCATTTTGCTAAGCATGCCAGGACCAGCCTTAGAAATAGAGGAGGCAGTTGCTTATATGGGAAAATTGTAGGGCAACTAGGAATAGTCCTCTACCCCTCCGGGGGAAAAAATGAAAAGAAACTCTTCTCTGAATAATTCCTGGCCTGAAATTTCGGTTATAGAGACTCATTCCCATAACTTTAAAGGTTTTGTTCCCTGTTAAAATATACTTTGTTCCCATTTAGACTATAAATGACAGTAAAACTGTATCACACATTGGAACAAGTCTTTTTTTTTTTAAACACATTCTTGTTTTTTGGTTTGTTTGGGCTTTTTTGTCTGTTTTATGGAGGGAGGTAATTAGATTTATTAATTTTGTTATTTTAATGGAGGTACTAAGGATTATTGAACCCAGCGCCTTCTGCATGCCAAGCACACACTCTACCACTGAGCTATACCCTTTCCCACAAAGTCATTTTTTTGAAGGCTGGGAGAACAGGAAGTAGGTGGGCAGATCTTGACGGATGCATGTGAAAATGCCAAAGATAAATGTAAGCGCCACAGTTTTGCTTAGGGTTGGTACTAAACAGTGAGATCTATTATGTTAGTTACAAAGTGAATACAAAAACAAAACAAAACTAAGGTCATTGAATAGGTGGCTTTTTGGCCTTTTAAGGGGTATGTGAAAGGTATAGCTAAGAAATGATTCAGCACTAATTATCGCTCTTTCCCCTCTCTCTTCAGCCACAGAAACCCATTCCTGCTCTTTTGAGTATCTTTCGGAATTCTGACTGTATTTCCTGTCTTTGGCCATATTTGTCATCTTAGCTTAATGTAGAAGCATGAAATTACAAGTATTTGCTCACCCCATGAAGACTTCCTCCAGTATCCCCTTCACTTTTATGGCTACTTGTTTTTACATGTTGCCTTTCTTCCTGTGTTAGTTGTCTTCCCCTACTTAGAAAAAAATAATCTATGATCACGCATTTTTTCTTATAAGTTGTCTTACCAAGCCTCCTTTGCCATTGAAGTCTTTTTGTTATATACTGCCTTTTCCCAAATGCTGTCTTTAAAAGTTTCTTCCATTTCCTTCTACCAAAAATAAATAAACACAGTTTTCTTTAAAAGCTTAGGGTTTAATTTCTACTCTACTGTTGTATTTTATATCTAAATGAATTTGACAGCCTGCCCCTAGGACATGAACTCTTTTTTTTTCTCTTGAATAATACTAAATATGCTCTCTCAGCTCAGTAATGGTAACTCTTAAAAGTATAATAAAAGACCACTTGGGAAAAGTCTATTTTCTTAATCAGCAGGTCACATTTTATGATAACATTCTGAATTTACTATTTAGCATTTATCATATACTCACCTTCTCAGAAGTACTAGGCATTTCCCATAGAAGTGGTCCCTGTTGTCAGAGAGCTCCCATCATAAAAGGTTTTGACTTACAACATAGAATTAGACTGAGAAACCAGTTTTCAGCACCTCGCCACCCTTTTTTTTGCAGTATCTTTGTTTTGAAGAAATTCAGATAACTTTAGCAAGGCATAAGAAGTACAGTGGAGTAGAAAATAGGATCAGAGGTTCATATGATTTCTTTTCCCTTAGGATGTAGAGATAGTTTCAATGCATACGTGGAAATTCCTGGTATGCCTGTATACGATTGCCAGAGATTAAAAGGAGGACAGAGGGAGGATATAGCTCAGTTGTAGGGTGTGTGTTTAGCATGCACAAGGTCCAAGGTCCAGGGTTCAATCCCCAGTATTTGTTAAAAAAAAAAAGTAAATAAAAATAAACCTGATTACCTCCCCCCACTATAAAAAGACAATGTAAAATAAATAAATATTTAAAAAATAATAATAAATAAAAGGAGGACAGGAATGGTAGGCATTGAGAGACAGTAAAGTAGTTAAGAGCATGGCCTCTGACATCAGACTTTGGTTCAAATCCCAGGTCTACTCACTAGCTGTGTAATCTTGGGCAAGTTACTTAACCTCCCTGACATTTGACTTCTTCATCTGCCAAATGAACTTAATAATTCTTACCTCGTTAAAGGATGTTAAAGTTGAAACTATTAAATTATAATTATTAACCAGATTTAGAATCTCTTCATCCAAAATCTGTTTGCCTGCAATGTGTTTATAGAATAAGATTGTTCAAAGAGGTGTATCTTAAAGCCTGGATTATTTCATAATATGTCTTGTTTGCCCTTTTCTTTATGTTGATGTATCATCTTACTTGCTCCTATTAGTCCCTTTTAAAAAAAACTATTATTTTAGCTTCTGTGTTGCAGATTTCCATTTCTGTACTAACACAGAAATCAGAGCCAGCTACTTTACTGATAGGAAATTTCTCAACTAATTTTCAAGGTGTATAATAGGAAGAGGGCAGGGGAGAAGCGTTCCTGGAGACATCAAACAATTAATTATATTGTAATGGAGCTATAGAGGGAGGAGTGGATGACTGGCCCAGAGAAAACATGATTTCTCTGGTGCCAGGATTACACTCAGAGGCATTTCTGCCTGTCTCCACTTTGCAAGGCACGGTGCCAGTGAGAACAGCAGTTAGTACACCCATAGTGGGGTTTACTAGCTTCCACACCGTGTTTGGTGGGTTCTTAACTTCAGGATGAGGAATTAAATTTTTTACCCAGCAGGAAGTGATTGCCATTTACTGATTTTTTTTTGTAGCAAAGATCTAGCTTGGGATATGAGTATTCCAGAGATGCACTGTCATAGGAAGGAGATGCTAACAAATGTTGTTCACTGGAATCAAGGAAAGGTAGTAAAATACATGTATGTATATACATAGCCAGGAACACACCTGTGAAAGTAAATTTCATGCCTTAGACTTAACAGCACAGTGCTCTTAGGCATTTCTTTTTTTTTTTTTAATCTGCTTTCATACCTGCTGCTGGACACTCCTGTGATCCCTTTATCTTCTATTGAAATGAACTGAATTGCTCCTTTTAAAGCATAGCTAACACTGATCACCTGCAGCCTGGGTGCCTGAGCCATCAACACACCTTACCCCACATAAAAGAAGACTAGAAAAAGTGATCTCTATGATAGAGGCATTCTGCTGCCCAGGATGCTGGGCTCCACGGACACTAGCACAGCTTTACTCAATGAAAAAACATCTGTGGGGCATGTGCCTAGTTCTAAGGTGGTAGTTATCATCACTAACAACATTTTCAAAAGATAAGTTCAGTGAATTTCTATACAGAGTTCCTATAGACCAATAGATTAATTTTAAATATACACATTCCACTTGTCTGCTGACATATATTCCTGAAGGCCTGACACTCTGATGTTCTGCACTGGAAATGATTGTGTTTTACCCAAAAGTAAATGAGTATTGGCAGAGTTCTTTTGAGCCCAGAAAGTTCCTCCTTGACATGGGACTCCTAAAATCGAGCTTAACTTCACACCTCTCCAGGCTAGTTGTGGAGGTTAACACTAGTTGTGGAGGAAAACACTTTGAAGAAATATGAAGCTCCTTGAAAATGTGTAATATTGTGATTTTTATTGGGAAATATTTGTTGTTTTTTAGGGGCCAGTATTTATTCAAAAACAAACCTCCTGATGGGAATGCTCCTCCCAACTCTTTTTATAGAGCACTTTATCCTAAAATTATACAAGACATTGAGGTAAGAAGCTATATATATTTGGGTATTTGCCAAATACTAGAGAATCAACATTCTTGAGTTACAGCACTGTTACAGCAAACCTGTTAAGGTTTATTGATGTGGGTTAAAAATCCATTTCTTTACAAGTGAATAGGGTAGATAAAATATAGCAAATTGCCAGGCAAAAATTTTAAAGCTTTAAAAAAGTTGTTTACTGATGGATAAGTGTATGAGAGTGAGAGAATATGATATCTTCATACAATAGCAGTGAAACTGTTAAAGTTGTATTTATAACTTCTGAATTGAGCCCCTCTGAAAGTTCACTGGTAGAAATGGCTACCACAGATGTGAGATGAGCAATGAGCAGGTAACCTCATGTGGTTTGTAGCTTGTCCTCCTTTGGTGAACAGCATCTTTGCACCAGGTTATTAATTGAACAAGTTATATACAGGGGAGTTCTAGGAAATAAATCTTTAATTACTTTGCAAATGGAAAAATGTGTTACAACTTTAAAAAGTGGCTTTTTAAAAACATTTTTAATACACCTTAAGTTTTATATATCCCATTGAGTGAAGCATTGAGTATTTGTCATTGGTTGCCATGGAAGTCAGATAAAAGTTTAGTTCTGGTCTTTTCCTAACGATTGCTTCTTTTCCATTTCTTCTTCTCAGACAATAGAATCTAATTGGAGATGTGGAAGACATAGTTTACAGAGAATCCACTGCCGAAGTGAAACGAGCAAAGGAGTTTACTGTTTACAATATGATGATCAGAAGATAGTAAGCGGCCTTCGAGACAACACAATCAAGGTAAGGTCTATTCAATTATGGGAAGGGAGCTGAAGGAGGGAGGGTGACCACATTCATAAAGCAATCTAAAGCATAAACTCTGAATATTATTTTCAGAAAGTAAGTGAGAGTTTTAGATAGTTTCCAGTCCCAAAGCCAGAATCATTCACTTAAAGGAAAAATACCTGCTTCCCCCAAGAAGCTCATACAAATGGCTAGTGCTAGGGTTAAATTTTCTTCTTGAAGTGCACTGAATGGGCTATTACTCTTTTGGTCCTCACATAATTATAGGTTACCCCTGTTCCTTAATGAAAAGGATAAAGTCTGCATTAGTACTGAAGCCACATATATATAGATGCTTAGCTATACCTATAGAAAAGAATGCATTCCACACTACCCTGGGCTTTGATTCTTTTGGGGAATCAAACACATAATAGAGCCAGCAAGTCCCTGCAGCACCCCATTATCACAGTGATCAAAAGGATCTTGTTTGCCATCCTAGATCTGGGATAAAAGCACATTGGAATGCAAGAGAATTCTCACAGGCCACACAGGTTCTGTCCTGTGTCTCCAGTATGACGAGAGGGTGATCATAACTGGATCATCGGATTCCACGGTCAGGTAGAAAATTTCAGATTATCTTTTGAACTCTGAAATACCGGATTCACTCTGTTCTGTCTTAGATAGTAATTTTGTATATACCTGTATGAGCACAGTTCTGAAATTTTATAACTAAAGAATTAACCATCAGCTTCCCCCATCATTGTGTCAGTCTAGAACTAGAAAACCTGATTTAGGAATGGTTAAGGTATGTTCACATTTTTGTACAGTTAAGAAACTACATTTTTTTTAAAAGAAACTACATATTCTATTTTAATATGAGGGAATCATCTATTATAGAAACTTAGTAAACCTTGCATTTCTTAAAAAAAAACACCTCACAGGGGAATGACATGAATAGAATTAAGCCCCCTTTTTTCAGGTGGTTGTAACTGTAGTGCCGGCATGCATTATCTCCTTTCAAATGTGTACAGGTGAGCCATGCTCTCTCTTTGCTAGCCTCTTCCCCTGCTGTCCCTGCAGTTTTTAATTGCAAGCTTCACTCAGGGAGGGGCCTTCAATTTCCAGAGGCGTTAGTGATTTGATGACACAGCCATTATGCCGCTGGAGTCCAGTGTAGCTTGAGTTCTGGGTACAGGCAGCGCTGCTGGAAACCTCTGTTAGGAATTTTGCCTTGAGCTAAAATAAAGGATTTAGCAAACATAATGCGTCAAAAGCAACATTTTAAAATTGAAGGAAAAAAAAGGTAACTGCATTGTTAGATTCTCTGAAGTTAAATGTTTACCATTCCAAGTTATCCTTTGTGAATAGAAAAGGCTGTTCCTATTTCTTGTCTTTTGACTTAAAGGCCTGGCAAACTCTGTTGTTAGTTATCCACATTTAACATTTATTGGTGCTTGTGGAGCCTCAAGAAAACTGAAAGAGTGTAGAGGCTAACATCATTTTTAGGATAGGGAAAAATGATTTTCTAAAAGAGGCAGTGAAATTGAAAAAGTAAATAAAATGTGTTTTAAAAACCAAAGTAAATATACAAAAATGGGTCAAAGTAAAATGTATCATTACACAAAATTCCTAAGCTATACAAGGGCCCCACACTCATTATATTGGGGTGGCTTTCTTGATCACTACACCCATTCAGAGCATAGAACTGGGGCCCTAGATTTAGAATCCAGGTAATCTTGGGCCTTGACCTGTGTAGTGAAAACTAAGATCCAGGGTCCTCAAGCTCAAATACACAGCACTAAGTCAATCTGTTATAGAAGCTTCTTAGCCTTTGTCAGTCCTTTGTAGGTCCTGAGGGCTGTCTGTGGGGCCACCAATGCTGCAATTATTAATCATATTCCCAATTTAAGATGTATCAGGTTGAATGTCAGAAGTTTTATAATAATCCTGAAGTCTGGGGCCAGTTAGCTGTTGCTGGTGGCTGCAACTTGATTCCTACCCCCTGCAACTAGACCACATTTCAAGCAGTGTGTCGTAAGGGTTTCACATTGGCAGCGTCCCGTCGTCTTCCTCTTCCCCTCTCCCAGTCCAGCCCTCTATCTACCACTTCCCCATGGTCCATCAGTACACTTTACCTCAGCTCAATCTCAAAGCTGCAAAAGGAGAGTAGGGTGTAACATTAACTATGAGATTGGAGTGGGAGGAATGAGGAGTGAGGTGGTTGAATTCTGGTAATAGATTTTAGCTTGAGTACTACCACAGTCTTGGACTGTGGCACAGCTTTCTTAATGTTGTTTGTTCCAGGGTATGGGATGTAAATACAGGTGAAATGCTAAACACGTTGATTCACCATTGTGAGGCAGTTCTGCACTTACGTTTCAATAATGGCATGATGGTGACCTGCTCCAAAGACCGTTCCATTGCTGTATGGGATATGGCTTCCCCAACTGACATCACCCTCCGGAGGGTGCTTGTCGGACACCGAGCTGCAGTCAATGTTGTAGACTTCGATGACAAGTACATTGTTTCTGCATCTGGGGATAGGACTATAAAGGTAATAAGACATTTTTCATTAAGTTCTCAGTACAGAATAGGAGAAGAGTTCATTTGAAAATCTGATCAAGGACAATTTCATATTTAAATGTCATTGTAGAATACTTAATATTTAAATCAGATACTAGTTTATGTGTAAAAAGGTAATGAGTGAGTTAAGTTGTGTGACAATTTTTGTTGGGTATTTTATTCCTATAAATAAAGGTGCGTACAAAAAGGGCAAGGGTAAGTTCAGGTTCAAGAAAATTTGTAAGACTAGCCTAACCGCATGAGAGTGCATCAGTTTGAGGAATTTTCATGTGATAGCAGCCAGCGACAAATTAGCCCTATATTACTGTGAGTTAAAATACTTTTGGTTTGATTTGGGTTGGTTTGAGAAGTTACTTCCCCTGTTAGTTCATTCTTATTTTCTGCTTCCCCAAGACTCCAGTTGCCAAATGAACTGCCAAATGCTATGTCTGTTTCAGGTATGGAACACAAGTACTTGTGAATTTGTAAGGACCTTAAATGGACACAAACGTGGAATTGCCTGTTTGCAGTACAGAGACAGGCTGGTCGTGAGTGGCTCATCTGACAATACTATCAGGTGAGCAGCTGGTGCCCTTGCCCAGAAGGGATCAGTGTTACACTGCCATTCAAACAAATCTTCAACTGTGTTATGTTTATAATAAAATGTTTTTCCTTTCTGTAGCTTCTTACAGGTCAAAAGTTTGCCCCAAGCAGAGAGGCAGCACAGCACAGCCTTTTGTTGATGTGTTTCCTTCCTGTAATAGTTTTATCACCAGATAGACCTATTTAAAAAGCACTGCTTGAACAAGGAAGTGGGCTAGAGAGATAGATAAGTAAACAGAAGTTGAAGGCCCGTCTCTTTAAATTTCTCCTGTCTGCTGTTGAAAAATGCTAATAAATACCTAAAGGCCTTTCTCTCTGCCACTGTTCTAAAAAAAGAGAGAGAGAGAAAAGAAGAAAGATTTGTTTCCCTACTAGAAATTGTACATTTTGGTTTTTTAGCATTACATTATTGGCCAGGGAGTTCCAGTCTTTGAAACTATGAAGAATCCACAAATTTGAAGTACTTTTTGGTGCTTTCCCTTCACAAAGATGAGTGACATACATATGAATAGAATTTGGAAGAATTATCAACCCTCTCCCCTCCTTCAAAGATGTACTAAGGGAATGAAAAGGCCATAAAAAACAACAGAGCTATGGTTATATCTAAGGAAATTATCATTCCTAGAAATCATTTGGATTGAAAGCATATGTAATTTAGGTATATAAAAGTTTTTGAGCGCTTACTTTGTATTTCCATTATATAAGAAAGAGTGTCCTGGACAGTGGAGCAAAAGCAATGTCCTCAGTGACAGAGGTGGACGTGCTTTGTGAGGGCAGGAAGTCACTAATACTGCCTCTCATTCTTATTAATGGTGATTTCAGGAAACATTACTTTCCTTGGCTTGGTCATTTCCTTCACAGGCAACTGTGTACGTTGAGTTCGTCCTTTTTATTTCTTGGCAACACTGATAACAGAATTATATAAAGCTTGGTGCTTTGAAAGTATATACTACATATTTGAATTTGAATTGTACATTTTTTTTGCCTGAGTTATATGGCAATAAGGAAATAAATTATGTTGAAAGCAGTACATTTGTGTATGGGTGTTGATTGATTTTATTTTGTGGATTTTTTTAAAAGGCATGTGAAATATGTCATTATAACATTTTCCAAGCTTAAAGAATAATACATGAAAATTCACTTGACTCAATTTTCTTTTTTAGGTTATGGGACATAGAATGTGGTGCATGCTTACGAGTGTTAGAAGGCCATGAGGAATTGGTACGCTGTATTCGATTTGATAACAAGAGGATAGTCAGTGGAGCCTATGATGGGTGAGTTTGCTAAAGACATTTTTAAGTTCTACCTCTTACTCCTCCTGCCTTAGGATGTTAAATATAGCCTTTCTTTGTCTCTAAAGGATTATAGATATTACAGAAAGAATGCAATATACTGTTTCTTGTGTCTAATCTATGTATTTACCTCTTCTTTGTTTACTCTTTTCCAAAATATTGTTCCTAATCATTTAATTGTACTTGTTTGCTCATGGTTTTCATTAATATTTTGGTTATTTGGTTATATATCTATCCATTTTTCCCTGCAAAGCAAAGAACCTGATAAACCCAGTATATCAAGATATGCATATAAAATAATGACCTCCTAATAAAACTAAAATGTTGGAGGGCAGTATCTTTGGGGCTTATTAACATGGAAGGGTCTTGAATTTTTTTATCCCTTTGAGTGTTTCCTAAAAGTAAAGCTCTCCTGTCTTTACTCCAAGCATTTCAGTGACAACGAATTCAGTCATCTTTACTTCCCCTCAGTCTAATTTCCAGTGGTCATAGAGTCCTTTCATGTTGTGGATGGATCCCATGTCCAGAAATGCTAAGCACATAGTAAATTCTTACAAAAGTGTTTTCACTTATGAAGGCCTTTCTATCATGTCTCCTCCTCAGGGTACCTACCTGATTTGGAGGAGTGAGAGGCCACAGTTCAAATACTAAATACCAGAAACTAACTTACGACATTATCTTAGTTTATGAGCTAGCTATACTAATATATTAAGACAACTCAAGCGGTAGTAGGTGTTAACAGACCCATTTCCTCTGCTTTGAGTCAGCCATCACTGTCATACCCCTGGGAAAATTGTTCAGGGTATGACATGTTCCAGTTAGGTCCAATGTTGTATTTTCTCATTGCGTTGGTTTTGATCTGTACCCACCTTTCCTGGGTTTTTTCTGTTATTTACCTTGAGGAGACATGACCTATAATTGATTTTTAGAAGGGCTAAACTTCTCTTATTTAAATCAAAATATGAGGATTTGTTTATATAAACTCCAGAGCTCTTTAATGGACCCCAGTCCTCTGGTATGTGTGACCGGGGCCATTCTTAGAATTGACCAGAAAGAAGATGCCTCAGAGTTGTAGGTTCCTAGGTCTAAGTGATCTCTTATATCAGTATGAGTTCTAATGTATAAAAACTCCTTTTAGCCCCAAAGTATGGTGTAACTTTACCATTCACTGTCTTCAGTTTCATTAAAGCTAACCTGTTTTTCGTTTTTAGTTTAATCACATACGTCTTCCCCTTTTAAGACCAAATAACCTCTACCCAAGAATGAATGCAAGAACCAAGTCTCTAGGTTTTTGTGCATTCCTGAGAGCTGCATTTATCCTATAAACTATCTTCACTGTACATCTTTATTGCCATAACTTTTTGCTTTTCTTCCTGTGTTCTGTTAATTTTGCTTTTAGCTATGATTTTTGTCCCCTTTTTGATCTTTAGAAAAATTAAAGTGTGGGATCTTGTAGCTGCTTTGGACCCCCGTGCTCCTGCAGGAACTCTCTGTCTACGGACTCTTGTGGTAAGAGCCTTGTTGTTTAGAGGGGTATGGAGAGCAGGAAGGGGAAGAAATTAAATTGATGTGCAGTGGAGTACAGATCTGGATTTGATCGTTAGAACTTCACAAAGCCTACTGCTAAGTGGAAAGGCAACCAATACATGACAATAAAATATGTCTATATAGCTGCCTTTCATCCAGAAGTGCTTTAGAGACTGTATATGAAAAGGAATGTGGCAGCTGTTTAACAGCTGCACAGCAACTCTACACAACAATTTAGTACAGGAAGTGAATAAGAGTTCTGTATCCACCGGAAACAGTAGGAGGTACTTAGGGAGAGAGAACATAATTACTCAAATTGGAACCTGTCCAGAATCTGAGGACCTGCACACCTGTGCCTGCAAAAAGTGCCATGGGAGTCTGCGTGAACCCCCTGGTCAGCCCCTCAGTTTTGCTTCCTGTTTAAAGTACGCTGCCTCCAGCAATTTGAATCTTGGCTCTTTTGTTCCTCATATACTCCCTTGCCTGAACATCCTGACATGTGGGGAAAGAAGTGACTCAAAAGGAAGAATGTCACCTTCGAAAGCACCAGTTTCTTTGTCATAGTGTTCACCAAAGGCCCAGATCGAAAAGTGGCTGAAGGTTGAAAGCTGTTTCCATTAAAAAAATATTAGATCGGGCACCAGGGAAGACAGACTCTTTTGCACAACTCAGGTAAAAGATGAGAGCAAGCATTTGAAGCCCAGTGTTCTGAATCCTGACTCTTGACATTTAGGCAACCTCTGCTCTGGAGAAGAGAGATGCATTGCTTGGCTTCCTTGTTAAATTTAATGCTCATTCTTTCAGTGCCAAACCTGTTTTACCAGCATTTTTCACACTTTTTTTTTAATGTGTACTTTCATTCATTTACAATTGATCTAAGTCTGGTATCATTTACATACAGCAAAATTTGCCCCCCCCTTTTTTAGCGTATTTCTATGAATGTTGCAGTTGTGTAAATACCACAGTCAAGATATAGAACATTTCCACCGCCCCAGAAATGATGCCCCTTCGTATTAATCCCTTCCCCCAACCCCTAGCAACTATCCATCTGATTGTGCCCCTGTAGTTTTGCTACCTTATGAATGTCATATAAATTAAATCATAGGATACGTAGCTTTTTGTATTTGGCTTTTTTCACTTCATTTGAGGTTCATCCACATTGTTGCACGTATTAATACTTTGTTCCTTTTTATTGCTAAGTAGTATTCCATTGTGTGGATGAGCCACTTTGCTTATGCACTCACCAGTTGAAGGACATTTGGAATGTTTCTGGTCTTTGGTGATACTAAAAACATTGCCATACCGGCTTGTGTGTGTGTGTGTTTTAATTTCTCTTGGGCAAATATTACAAGTATGATTTCTGAGTATATATTTTATGTTTAAAAGAAACTACCAAGCTATTTCCCAAAGTAGCATTTTGGGGGTTTGCAAATGCAAATCATTTTATATTTCCACTAACAATGTATAAATGTCCCATTTGTCCACATCCTTGACAGGACTTGGTGTTGACAGTTTTTAAAAACACTATAGCCGTTTGAGTGAGTGTGTAGTGGTTGTAGTTTTAATATGCATTTGTGTGATAACTAATGGTGTAGAACTTATGGTGTGCTTATCTTCTTTTGAAGTGTCTGTTCAAATCTCTTCCTCATTTATTTATTGAGTTGTCTTACTAAGTTTTTATTTTTATTTTTTAACGCCTTTATTGTGGTATGGTTCCTGAACAGTAAACTACACATATTTCAGATGTACAATTTGATAAATGTTGATAGGTATATATACCCATGAAACCACCATCACAATCAAGATAACTTACATTTGCATCACTCCCCAGGAGGTGCAATTTTCAAAGTCCCAATTTATCCCTTCCCACCCCTTTCCTCCCCAGTAACCATAAGTTTATTCTCTATGTGAGTCTGTTTCTATTTTGTAGATGAGTTCATTTATGTCCCTTTTTTAGGATTCCACATAGAAGCAATGTCATATGGCATTTTTCTTTTTCTTTCTGGCTTACTTCACTTAGAATGACGATCTCCAGATCTATCTATGTTGCTGCAAGTGGCATTATTTTATTCTTTTTTAATGGCTGAATAGTAATCCATTGTATATATATACCACATCTTATTTACCCAGTC